TTATAGCGTGAAGTTTAGAAGAGGGCGAGCGGCAAAGCCGCGAGCCCCCATTTAAAATTGACAAAATCTGATGGTATGAGTTCTACTCGGAGGCAAAACCCCCAATAATTATATTAAATATTTGCAAATCATATAGTGTTAAGTAAAAAAAAGTGCGAGCGGCAAAGCCGCGAGACCCCACTGAAAATTTGACACAATCTGTTTCTAAACGAGGTCGAGCGGCAAAGCACCTATAATTTTTACTAAACATTTTTTTTTATTTGATTATCATTTTCTAGTAATAGTTAATAAAAAGTGGTATAATAACTGTGATCATACTTTAAAAATAAAATTTTATTTTGTTTTCTGACTTGCAATTTTTTTGGCAAAATACCAACTTATGTATTTTTTTTAATAAAAATTGAATATAAATTAGATCATTATCATAGCACAGTTATACAGGATATTTGAAAAGTTGCGCCCCCGACGGGGTGTAAGATATCAGGAGCATAAAAAAAATGTTAAAAAAATATATCTATGAAAATTTCGAAATTATGAGAGTTTTAATTTTGCACTGACAATTTATTTCTGTTTGAAAAATATTTTTTTATGTTTTTTTGTTACAGGCTATTAAAAAGGGAAACAAAAGCTTTTCAAAAAATTTTTATAGTGAGTTAAAAAAAATTAAAATTTTGCAGAACACAAAAACCAAAAAAAAAATTCTAGAGAAACGTTACATTTTTAAAATACTTTATTATTAACCAATTAATTAATTCATAATTGTTTACCTGGTGTAAAAAAATTGAAGCAAATCCGTCAGCCAAATTAAATTTCAGCAAATGTTGTTAATAGTTTGTGTTGAAATTAACTCTAGTGAAATATAAACAATTTATTCAAACAAAATTCGCACATCACAAAAGTAAACACGCTATTAAACTGGTTTAATTAAAACAATACAATCAAAACAAATTTTCAATTATAAGCCAAAACCACAAATATTTTAAAATTATTGACCCGGCGCATCCACCAAAATTAAAACTTTGCATTTTACCATTAATTTTATAAAACACTAAAACAAAAAATATGTAGCTTGTCAATTAACATATTTCCAGACTCTATCTATTGAAATAGAACATTGAAATGTTGCTAACTTAATTTAAAATGTCATTCTTTAATCAGAAATTTATTTAATATATTACTTTTGTAAAAAACACATAAAATACTCTAGATAAAAATAACTAACAAAACATGTTTAAAAATAAATTTATTTAATTGTTCATTGTTAAAATTAATTGAATTAAATATACAGGGTGATTGAATAATATCGGACCAACTCTCAAATAATAATAGAAGACTTTCAGCTAAGCATAAAAAGTGTCAATTTTCATATCATGTAGGCATCTTAGTTTTTTTTCCGATGTTGTTAGATTTAATTTATTCTTAAATTTGCTAGTTTGTTAAATGTTTTTTACATGATAAGGCACAGATTAGTAATTTTTTTCAACAGTCTTACAAGATTTTCCGTTTCCGCTAACTAAATTTAAAATTACATAATCGGAACGGCCAAAAACTTAATTCAAAATCTAATTTTTGAAGAGCTATATCTCGTAAAAATGTTCATACAATTTTTTGTTATAGGAACTTTTAACTCAGTTGGATGTCCTTTATCACCACCCAAGAGATGGAATCACCCTGTAGATGACAAAGTTAAAAACATCAAAAAATGAAAGAAGTTTGTATACAGAAAATTTTAATAGTTAATATTTAAACAGCATTTGCTATTCATAAAAACAAAAACAGATTTTATTCGTTGATTGATCAAGTTTTTTAATATTTTTTTAGCTGAACTCGTAATAAACAAGCAACATAATACGAGTAAAAATTGTGTATTTTTGTACAAAAATGCATTAAAAATTAAAATCCCGACTTTCCGAAAGCAAAACATTTTAATGCAACGTAAACAAAATTCCGATAACGATTTGAGTTTCAGATTCAAACACAAAATAAAAATCTATACTCCATTTCTGAAACTAAAAAATAAATACAGTCGCGTGATAGAAATCTCTCGTTGCCTGTCGCACGCTAAAAACCGTCCTCAAATATCCATATAGGTCGCACCTGTCGATACCATTTCAGCAATTTCAGCATGATATGTCGCCAATATTTATCGATACTCCCCCAAATTACATGTCATTCTCCCCAAGGCCTCAAGATTTCCCTAGTCCAGCCGCAAAGTTCCTTCGTCTCGGACTATAAATCGTTCACTCGTTTACAAAATGTCCTAGCGGTCTGTATAAATCTCGATTTAAGTTGTTGCCTTGTAATCTCGGCTCGAGATTGGTAGAGCACAGGTGGTGCTTCGTCGTTATCGGGGCCCTTTGACGTTTGATCGATAAAGCTTTTTCAGGCCAATTATCGCTTTTTTTGTTTGTTCACCTAATTATTAGGGAAAATGATCAACTGATATGGAGCTATTCTCAATCCGAACCCTAATTGCATTCCCGCTTCCTAATTAACCGAGTCGAATTTTATACGATGGAGGGCTTTTCGACGAGCGCCATCTAACGTTAATTAGCCGTTTAATCAAGGAAACAAGTGCCGAACGCGGTTTTGATTGCTTGAAACAGCAAAAATAATAGCATTTATATCACAAAGTAGAGGTTTTTTAACCGAGAAAGAAATAATAAATGCAAGTATATGGAAATTGTGTCTTCCACGTTTTATATAATATTTTTAACTACTAGCACATTTATTGCCCAATAATACAAAAAGAATATTACTTTCAAAAAAGACAGAAGAATTAGATGTAGGGTTACTTCGATGTTTATTAATGACGAAATTCAAGTCTTTTTTATTTGATTTTGCATTAATTTCATCTCGAAATATTCCCGTTAGTATTTGTGGTAATAATATAGTTTTTAATAATAATATTCTAGACATACAGGGTGAATATAAAGTATGAAACCAAGCGTTTTTTTTTAAATCATTTATCTCCAAAAAATAATAAATAATACAAATGAAAGTAATGTAAAAAATGTGATCGTATTTTTTATTATTTTGTTTTGTTTTTGATTTATGCGATTTTTTTGTCAAAGTTGCAATATACCACCACGGATCACTTATCCATTGATTTATTTAGAGATTGTAAAACTCTTAAAAGTAAATAATTTTAGAAAGACAATTTAATAATCTTTTAAATGCAGAAACCATAAATAGGGTTTTCTATTTAATTTTTTAAGTTATTGAACTTTTAACAAACTCCTTCATTTTTTTTTATTTTTGCAAATGCAACATAGTAAAAAATGTTACAACCTTATAGCTCGTACCTTCTTCTTTGCGCTAGTAAAAAAAGGATTTCTAGATGTCTTAGTTTTTGTAATAAATTTGAAATATATTTTTAAAAAGTGTACGTTTTGTCAAAAAACCGTCTTATTTTTAAAACTAAGCAAACTCAACCAATAAAAGTTTGTCTTAAAAGCATTGTCATAAAATTTTACATTTAAAAACGTTAAGAAACATATGGCGTTTCATTTCAAAAAACACAAGTTTGAATTGTAACTTATTTTTGAGACACGCTGTATAGTTGAAAATAATTTTAGACGATGGACTAGGTTAGTATCTATCAATGTCCTATATAATTTTTTTTTTATTTTACCATTTAAAGGTCATTAATGGACTTTTTTAACTGGGACACACAGTATAAAAAAATTTGAAAAAATTTAATATAAAGTATAGTTTTAATCCTTAGATCATAACCTTCATGAGAAAAATTAGTTCTACAGTGTTTTGTAAATAGACAAAAAAATGACAAGTAAGGTAAGATACCAGGAACATGAAAAAATGTTTAAAAAATTATATCTGTCAAAAAATTTTGACATTTATTTTTTGGCATTCAACATTTTTTTATGCCTATTTAATGATACTGATCTTGTAAGTATATGTTTTTTTTATAATTATTTAGTATTTGTACAAAAATTTTGCTAATAAAAGCCACAAATAACATTAAACAAAGTTTCAATTTTTCTAAAATAGTCTGTAGCAAAAAAAAACTTGGAAAATTATTTTTTCAACAAAAATAAATAGAAAAACAAAGCTCTCGTAACTTCAAAATTTTTGTAGATAAATTTTTTTATACATTTTTTTAATGTTCCTGGTATCTTATATTGCCATTTAAAGAAATAAAAATTCTGTGGAACTCAAAAACAAAAGAGAATTTCAAAAAAGTTTATTCTTGATAAAACATCACATTTTTATAGTACTTTTTTAATTAGTTTTCCAAAAAATAAATTGTTTAATTGTTTATGTTTCCATACTTTTTATTTACCTGGTATATTTATATCAATGTAAAACCCTGCATAATCGGTGTTTATTTTTATTTATTGTTATCATTAGTCAATAATAGTACAACTAGTAGTAAAAAAATACATTTGAATAAAAATTTAATTACTGTCTGTGTAATAATTTCAACTAAAACCTAAATTTCTCTCTAGAACTGCAAAATTAATTACTTCTGCTATTATTACAATAATATGACAATTGATTGCCATTCAAGCTTATTCATAATTCACTATTCTGCATTAAACCTCGCTGTTTTCTTATTAGATGCTTTAATAACTTTTCCCCTAAGATTCATTACATTACGAAATATCGTTCTATTGTATGGTTTCTCTTGTACAATGAGAAACATTAAAAGCAAGATTCCAACCCAATTTAAATATTTCAAGTGTCACATTTTTAATTAACTTGATTTCATATTTACGAACTTCCTTTCGAAATAAAGTGATGACATTTCACATTTGCTCACTTCCGATGTCACTCACAACGCTCTAAATTAGTCAAATTTTCTTTCTGCGCGTCTGTCGTCAACAAAATATTGTTGCTGATACAAGGATATTTCCATAATGTCGTCATTTCGGGTTTACTGCACGAGAATAAAAGTTTTATGTCATCTTGGGCTTAAACTCGGTTAAAAAGGGCATTACGGATTCAATCAAAGAGTGATTTATCAATTCTCGTTTCAGGACTGTCCTTATCCTTGCACGTGTCCGGTGATGGGTCAGGAAGTGTGTAGGGAGTGCGAGGAGTGTCCGAGACAGCTGGGCGAGCCCTGCAGCGAGGACAGGCCCTGCGATAAGCAACGGGGGCTTGTATGTCGATATAAACATGGCGATGCTGAAGGAGTTTGCAGAGGTAACAATTTTTTTATTCTTAAACAAAAAAAACTCGCTAATAAAAAAAGGTGAATCCTGCAGGAGAGATGGACATTTAACAGCACAATTTGACGGAATTATTTTGCGGTTATAGATAACCGTAATACACGAACTTAACCAATAATTATGTCAGATTTAGTTAATATAACGGTTATTTAATCTTGGTTATATTTTGGGTATACAGGATAATGAAAAAAAGGCGTCCTTTTTTATTGAAACATTGTGACCATCATTCCAAAAATAGTCTAAATAGATTCTCTTTAAAATTTAAACAGTTTGTCTAACAGGACAAAGCGGCAATATTGCACAAATTTCTTTTACTAAAAAACTATTTCACTCAGGTATATTTTTCGTATCTAGGAAACCTTTTTGACTTTAATCGTTCAAATTTCACAGAACAAACAACATTAAAAATTGATTTTTTTTGTTGCTACCGTTTCCAATAATTGAATATTACTTGGACATTTTCTGTATCCTAGGATATTTGCAATGTTGCAACATTGATAAATTTTCTTTGGAGCCAAGAAATGGTATCCAAACATCTTCAATAAAGTTTATTTCAAAAGACTTTTTACACATTTTTTTTTAAGAACACCGTCAAGAGTATCAAAATCTAGACTTTAACAATGAAATTATTTTAAAACTGTTAATTATATAGATTTCTCTCTTCTTAAAAGGAAAGTCTATATATATATTACTGATAAGAGCACCAATCCAATTTTGGTCTTCGAATTCGTCTTTAATAAAAGATCACTTATAACGTGTGGGTTAACACGGGCGCCTTTTTTTCATCATACTGTATAATAAAAGTTATATTTGTGTTGCGTAATATAGCGTATATTAAATTCAGTTTATATATCGGTTATCTAACCATGGTTATGTCTGGCGCATATAGCAAAGGTTATATGCCGGTTATATTCGTATAAAAAAACGCCCCTAGCCATAATTTTATTAGTGACTTTTAAAGACATTGTAAAACTTCTTTGATCAAAATTGAACATTTTTTTATCAATTGTTTATTGCTTGCTTTAGATAAAATGAATAAAAATGTTTTATTCTTATCACAGCCTATTTTATTTTATTTTATTTTCAACTTGCCTAAAATGAAAAGTTAGTGATAACATAACACAAAAATAATGAAATCATTATAGGTAAAAAGTGTTAATTGCCTCAACCAATAACATTAAAACTTAAACAACAAACAAAAAAAGCAAATCAATTATTCAATGTAAAAAATTTTTCACTTTCTAAAATTATTATTATTATTGACAAAAGTTTAGAAGAAAACAAATCCTCTTTAAATTCATAAAAAATACTAGTAAATAAAGATATACTGTGTGACAAGTGAGCTTGTTAAAAGACAATTTAATGAAGAATGCAAAAATAACAAAATATACAAGGTGTTTCATTTAAAAAACTGAAATTGTTGTTACTTACAGTAAAACAGGAAGCAGCAATAGATAGCAAGAAACTGTTCAACTTTGTTTTAAGAAGTATTGTCATATTTATAAAAATAATAATGGCTTGAGGCGTTTTTCATAATTCATCCTGTATAAACAATGTATAATACGGTGATATTTTATATGTTGCCAATATTTTATAATATCAAGACAATAAGTGATTAAGTAGGTTACCGTTTTATCAAAAGTGAAATTATGACCTACAAATATATTAAATAGTATATTAAATATATCATTTTTGCAAAAAGTTATATAAGGGAAATATGAGAACGGTAATATAAGCGTAATATAACCACGCATATATAGAAATTAGAAAACGAAACATAACCGCAACATAAGCGAGCGTTTAAATATATAACTGAAATAATATTGTCCCCTTAGTGCAACAACTAGATAACTTGAAATTTATAGTTTTGTGTAACTTTAAAAATGTAAAAAACTAAAATGTAATATACTAAACAAAGTTTTTTCAGTCTGATAGAAAATTTAGTTTTATGTATTCGAAGTATTGCAAAAAATACTTTAGAAATGCTTAAAATTTAAATTATCTAGTTGTTGCACTAAGGAAACGATATAACCTCGCGTATATATAAGAGTTAGATAACTTTAAATATAAGCGAGACATAAAAACGGATTTATGCAGTTGCAAATAACCACGCGTTTATTAAAGTTATGCAATAAAACATAATCACAATATAAGGGTAGTTATATAATCTAAATATAACCACGCATATATATTGATTATAAAACATTTTCATTTTAACCTAACCCTGGTTATATAACGGTTAACTGTTAAAGCGTCACATCTATAAGCTAGTATTTTAATTAATTTGTTACATGAATGGATTTAGAATTGTGAAAAAAAAATTACGAGTATCTTTGATTTTACGTCAAAACTGCAAAGGAAAAAAGTTTGTGTTTTACTGGAAACCAGTAAATCTGTAATTAAAACTTCATTATTCTAACTCACTAGAAAGAAAAGTTCATTTTTCTCTTGATTTTGGACTTAATAATTTTAAAAATCTTATTTATTCTAAAGATTACAGTACCTAATTAAAAAATAAACACAATATTTTGATTTATGTTTTTTTTATTGCGTTAAGAAAACGAGGCTTTCGTTTACAAATGACAATGCTCTCAATGTCATTTTTTTATATCATGAAAAAAAACTATTACTCATTAATTTTCCTTAATATTTATTTTTGCAAGTCACAGCATGTTTATTTATTAAAAATAATCTTTTCACAAAAAATCAAATATTTGTGCATACACGTATTCAGAAAAACAGGTTCTATTATTCCTATTTAAAAAAAACAGTTGAACTATCGTTATTTTGACACATGTCATGTTTACGCATTTAATGCAGTTTGATGTACTTTATGGGGCATATTATTTGAAATAATCAAGTTAAAAGGGTGCGACAGGTAACCTGGGACACCCGGTATACTATATTATTTTACAAGAGGTTTTTCAAAATGTGATCAATCTCTCCCGGGCTTACCCTATAGTGTTACAATAAAAAATAGTTGATTGTTTGAAAATTGGTCAGCACATTAAAAAACTAAAATAGATTTGTCTTTTTCGGTAAATAATTTTAATAATTAAAACGTGTTTTTAATTACGTTAATTGATACAAAGAATTAAAAAAAAACGGTCCAACAATTCGAAATGAAATTTTCTCGAAAAAAGTTATGCAAATCGGGTTTTAATCGGGCGATCCGATTGTAATTCCGTCATTATTCAAAAAATTAGTGGAGCTTTTTCGGTCTTGAATCTATCGTTCGCTCCTCGTTTATATCTCCAAACAAATTAAATCGAATCGAGACGATTAATTATAATGACAGGGAAGACGCTATGAAACGATTCCACTTAAATTTATTGCGATTTTAATTAGAGTGGAGCGGAATGCGTCTCGCGCCTTATTCATTCCGCACTGTTTCTCCTGTTTGCGCTCTTCCGGAAAAAGGATTCAAACGAGTGAAAAAATAACGTCAGTTGATCGATTCCTGAAATCCTTTCACCTGGTGTTGCCATCAACAAGTAAACCCTTCGGATTCGAATCCTTTTCGCGCCATTTGAATGAGGACATAACAATTACGTCCTATTAAGCCGCAATCCTCCCCGAAAAGTAATCTGACAGGCGAGTTTATCGCCGTTCTTTGTCCTTCCACTCCCGGATTTGCCTATAATCTGCATCCTCTAAGCCGTCTTGATGGAATTCCAATTTTATTAGCCGTGCACGGTTGTATTTTACACGTTTTTGTGAGTAGGTGGATTCAGAGAGAGACTTTAAAAGTTTTAATTTCATTCCGGGTTTTTGGCGAAGCTTTGTCTCGTCTGTATTTAATTATGGCTTGTATTCTTTGCGTCCCGGGGCACAGGCGTGTCTTCGGCACACTTCATTAGACCAGAAACTAGCTGAAGAGCAAAAACGAGAAACGCTCGGGGGCTTTCACAGCTACGTCGTTATTTTGTAATACAAACGATGCGACCGGAGTACATTGTCGGACAGAAATTATGATCAAAGCTTTTTTGAGAGAAAAACGAAATGCTAGACCGAGCGAGGATAATAGACGAAATGAGTAGGCGAAAACGCAAATCAATAAAGCTGAAAAAACACCATCGTAAACTAGAGAAACTAATAGAGGAGACTGAATAAACCACCACTTTTAAATTTAAGTCTAAAGTGTTGGTTTTTGGTTTTTTGGCCATAGAAAAACAATAATAAAAAATAATAGACATAATAAATGTCACAGTAAACACATAAAATAACAGAAACAATAGCTGAGCTTAGAAATATAACCAAAAAAAAAAGATGAATACCATTCAGATCAATCTCAAAAAAATAAAGAAATTATATTTTGATAACCAAAAGACAAAAACTTATAATAGAAACAAAATACTAATTGCTTAGTCAAAACTGGAAAATACAAAATAACAAGTTAAATTGGCTTCAATTTCAGTTTTGTGCAAACTGTATTAGAAAATAATGTTTGTTTCAAAACAAAAACTAAAAAAAACTCATAGTAGAAACAAAAATAGAAAATAAATACTATTACAAAAAAGTGCCTTGATACATAAATAACTATTTTAGAATAAGTTAAAAAATAATCAAAAAACAGTAACAATAACAAAAATCAAACAAAAACTTGAAGTAAAAACAAAAATAGATAAAAAGTGCCAAAAATAATAATCGCTAAGTCAAAGCTGAAAGTTACAAAAAATCAACTTAAACTGGCTTAAATTTCATCAGTTTTGTAATTTATAAAAATGTATTAGAAAAAATATTTGTTTTAAAACAAAAACTAAAAAAGCCTTACAGTAGAAACACAAAAAAAATGCTATTAAAAGTATTTTTATTTTTGGTCATATTATGGTCAAAAAAAACAGTAACAGTAGCAAAAACTTAAAATAAAATTGAAATGCTATTAAAAAAATGTATTTTTAGAGTAAGTTAAAGAATGATCAAAAAGAGAGGAACAATAACAAAAACCAAAAATAAACTTGTAGTAGAAATGAAAATAGAAAAAAAAACCTATTAATTTTTTTATAACTACTTATTATAGAATAACAATCTTCTTGGTTAGTTTTACACAACTTTTGTCCAAATTTGCGATTTCAAAAAAAATTAATATGCACCTCGGCACTAAAGTTATTTTTCATTACTCATGTGTTTGATTTGTTTCAGTTACCGCCTCTGCAACTAAACACACATTGATAATCAATAAAACTTCGACCTTAGTGCTTTGATACATAAATAACTATATTTTAGAATGAATGAGTTAAACATATAACAAAAAACAGTAACAATAACAAAAAAAATATAGTAAAATCAAGAATAGAGAAAAATATGATTAAAGAAATATTTTTTAGAATAAGTTAAAAGATGATCAAAAAAAAACAATATCAATAACGAAAACAAAAACAAATTTTAGTAAAAACAAAAATAGTAAAAAATGTTATTAAAAAAAATATTTTGGAATAAGTTAAAAAGTGATGAAAAAAACAGTAAAAATAATAAAAACTAAAAAAGTTTTTAGTTGAATTTTAGTAAGTTAAGGGTTTTAAAAAAAATGATGACAATAACAAAAACCAAAAATAAACTTGTAGTAGAAATAAAAAAAGAAAAAAAATTCTATTAATTTTTTACAACTATTATAGCTATTATAGAATAACAATCTTTTTGGTTAGTTCTACACAAATTTTGTCAAATTTGCGATTTTGAAAAAATTTAATATGCACTAAAGTTATTTTTCATTACTCATGTGTTTTGTTTGTCTCAGCTATGGCTTCTGCAACTAAACACACATTCGTAATAAATAAGTCTTGGACTTTAGTGCCTTGATACATAAATAACTATGTTTTAGAATAAGTTAAAAGATACATATAGCAACAAAAAACAGTAACAATAACAAAAGAAAATTATAGCAAAAGCAAAAATATATAATATAATAAAAAATAATCAAAAAGACAATATCAATAACAAAAATTTAAAAAAAAATTAGTAAAAACAAAAATAGTAAACAATGTTATTTAAAAAAATATTTTTGGAGTAAATATAAAAAGTGGCGAAAAAACTAATAAAACCAAAAAAACTAAAAAAACTCTTAGTAGAATAAAATAAAAATAAAATGCTATTAAAAAAAATTGGGTAAGTTAAGGGATGATCAAAAAGAGAGTAACAATAACAAAAACTAAAAATAAACTTATAGTAGAAACAAAAACAGAGAAGAAATGCTATTAAAAAATATTTTTTATTTACAACCGTTCACCTTTCTAACCTTGTCGTAGGTTGGAAAGTGACTTCCCATTACCTACCTGTGTTACTAATCCCACTTTTCTCACAATAAAATGTATTTGTTAGTAAAACCCCATCATTACATTTTTTTACTTTTTTAACAAAAATTAAAGATGCAGTTGTGAATAAAATTATGCACAAACCTTAGTGGAAAAAAGTTTTATTTCTGTTTCAAGATAAAGTTAACCTCGTCGCAAACTTTCTATTTTTTTTACAGGAATGAAATATAAATAACTATTTCAGAATAATATATCAAAATATATTATAAAAATATTAAAAAAATATTATAAAAATATATCAAAAAAACAGTAACAGTAAAAAAACAAAAAAATAGTAGAAGCAAAAATAGAGAAAGTTATGATTAAACAAATATTTTTAGAATAAGTTAAAAAGTGATGAAAAAATCAGTAAAAATAATAAAAACTAAAAAAACTGTAGAGGAAAAAAAATTAAAATAAAATGCTATAAAAAAATATTTTTTATTTACAACCGTTGACTTTTCTAACCTTGACGTAGGTTGGAAACTGACTTGTTCCTGACCTCTCATTACCCACTTCTACTACTACTCTTGATTTTCAGTCCCAATTTTTTTTTTGTCACAATTAAACGCATTCGCCAGTGAACCTTTTTTTTACTTTTTTCACGAAAATTATAGTTGCAGTTGTAGATAAAATTGTGCACAAACCTCGGTGGAAATAAGCTTCATTTCTGTTTCGAGATAAAATTATCCTCGACGCAAACATTCTAATTTTTTACAGAAACAAAATTTCCCAGGTTGGTACCTAATATACTATAAAATAGGTTAAAAGTAATCAAAAAGACAGTAACTGTAACAGAAACAAAATAGGAAAGAAACACTAAAAATAATAATGGCTCACTCAAAGCTGAAAATTTTGTATGTTTTTTTTTCAGAATCAACTGGAGTGCCATGCATCGTGCACAACAAGACCTACGAGCACGGTGAGACCTTTTCTTTGGACTGTCGCACTCAATGTGCTTGTCAGGTGAGTCCCAGATATAATTACATTTAATATTTAATCGAGCACAGGGAGCACAACAATGTCAACAAGAAATAAAGTCGCGCCAGCGAAGATATCTCAAAATGAATATTTCACAGTCCGGAAACGACGAAAGCAGCTGAAACCTTGATACAAAACAGCAAACTCCAATCATCTCCGTAATAAAACCAACACAACCAAATGTGACTCGACTGCATCCGAAATAATGAAATTTGCGAATCTTCGATATTGGACAGTGTCTTTGATGTAGGCTGCCAACGCCGTAAAATAATTACAATTTCCATTCGCCGGCTTTAATAAAAGCTTCTCAAAGAACGGTTTATGAATTTTTCATGTTTCCATAAATTCCGCAGGGCGAGATACTCGTAATTCCGCAAAAAAATTATATTTATACTCAATAAATACGACGCGAGCAGCCAAGCGCCATTAAACTATTTCAAATGACCGGTGGTAAAAAATCTAGTTAGAGGGATTTTATGCAAAAATTTTCTGAATTATGCATAAGTCGCCTTTTACCCGATGAATTTCAATTGAAATGTTTCCAGGGGGCGCCTTATTGCTTTACAACCGAAATTTGATTTCCTTGTTAACTTTCATTTCGAGGGTCGCCGGGAAAGACAATAGTTGGCCGACCTAATTACCAATTAAAATAAGACGAAATTTCCCAAAGTTTTTAACTTCCTTTTTGGAGACGTTTCAAATATAATACCCCCTTGTTGGTTGAATGATAAACTTACCTACTTAAAACTTTAGTTGGTGTTTCCATAAAGAGCCTATTTAAAACTTTTTCAACTCGAGGCTCGCAACTTCGGCCTGTAATAATGTATGCCATGACAAGGATTTGAAAATTTACAAGACGAGACAACTTCCAACATTTGCTCTAAACAACAATCAACAAACATGACCCCAATTCTCCACCAACAAAATATTTTTAGATGTGTTATTATCGCTTCATTTAATGTTTGTGTGTTAATTATTAGCGCTCATTAGGTACATAGACTCTCCAATCGTATGTAAATTGAGTTTGGATACGAGAATGTTGTTATGGCGGTAATAATGTTTATGTTAGTTGTTGTTTAATTTATGAATTGAAACTCTGTCAATCATGCGATATTTCTACATGCTAATTTATGACAGTAATTGTTTATTGGTTGAAATTAATCACCCACCGATAACCACAACATCCTGCTCTGAAATAATCTAAAAACAACAAAACGCATCAGAGATTTTAAATCAGAATAACATATTATGCAAATTTCAAACCGCTGGTAAACGATAGAACAAAAAAAATAAACCAAAAAATAAAATAATAACTTTTTAAAATTGACTAAAAATTATGTATAAAAATAAACCGATTTATGACAATTCTCTAACGTAACTTTATTCACACTCAAGTATAATTTTTGACAAAGTATGTCTTGAAACTTTATCCTACTTTATGCTGTGGAACTTACTTTAACTTTTATTTGTAGAAAAATACTATACCAGGTGAGCAGAAAGTATAGGACAAAAGGTTTTTTGCTTAAACTTATTATTTTTTGAAAAAAACTAATTAATGAATGATTAATATGTACTTACTATAAAAGTGTGACGTTTCTCAAGAATCGAAATTTTGATTTTTTTTGTTTAATTTAAGTTTTTTGGGTACAAATTTGTCAACCCGCCACTATAGAATTCTTTTTTTACAAAAGCTGTGATCTAAAAATTATAACCATTTTATTCAATTTCTTTGGAACATTTTTTTTATAAAGGATGATATTTAAAAACGGCAAAAGCTGTATAATTTTTATTTATGGCCCGATTTCAAAAATTAAAATAGTAAAACAGGTTTTATAAGACTGGTGTTAAAGCACGAATTCAAGTTTAAAAAACGAGTGGCGTAGCTTTTAAAGAATGAGTGCTATAAAGTCTTATGAAACAATTTTTTTCTACTATTTGTTGTAAATGGCCCCCTTTATGCCGTTAATTTTTTTTTATTTTAATCGATTTAGGGTTTGTTGTGACAATTGCTAATGTCAATTTTAAATGTTTTGTAGTGTCTTAATTTTAAAAGTCAAAATTTGATCTAGTCGCCTCCTGACTATTAAAACATCGCACATGATGACATTAGGTTTTTTAATATGTTTTAATATGAGAATCTAGAATCAAAAATAAATTAAATCGCTTTTAATTTCACAATTTTAGAATTTTGCTATCTTATACAGGGTGCGCCAGAACTCGCGCCCCAGAGAAAAATGGTATGTAAGGTACGATACCAGAAACATGGAAAAAATGTTAAAAAAATTCTATCTATAATAAATTTCGATGTTATGAGAGTTTAAATTTTACATTTTGACTCTATTTCTGTTAGAAAAATAATTTTCCAAGTTTTTTGCTAAAGCTATTAGAAGAGAAAACTTTGTTTAATGTTATTTGTGGCTTTCATTCACAAAATTTTTGTACTTTTACTAAATAATAATAAAAAAACATATACAAGATCATGAGCATCATTAAATATACATAAAAAAATGTCACATGTCAAAAAATAAATGTCAAAATTTTTTAAACATTTTATCTATGGTCCTGGTATCTTATCTTCCTTGAAATTTATTTTTGAGGCGCGAGTTTCTGAAACTGTATTTTGGGCTATATTCAACTTTCTAATATTAAATAAGGACACATTAAAAAAAAAAGTTTTCCTAGTAGTTGCATACAAACATGTACGATATGTTCTTCTTTTACTAAAAATTATTTATTGTTTAAAAAAATTAGTAAAAGTATCATGATGTCAATAAAAAAATACGTTAACAATAATCTTTTTAAAAGTAAACAAAACAAA